TTTATTTATTTATTTATTTATTTATTTATTTATTTATTTAAGCTGCCCATCTCACTTATGTGACTCTGGGTTGCGCACACAATTAAAATAACAAAAACCAAACAAAACCGTTAAAATACAATTAAAACAGTTAAAACTAAATAAAACAAAAACACGGGAGTGTACACTCCAAAACTTACAAAAGGTATAACCATTTCACAGACTCCATACTTTCATGGGATCCCCAGGCCTGATTTCAAAAGCAGGTTTTAAGAACCTTCCAGAAGGTCAATCGGGTTGGGACCAATCTAACCTTGGGACTGATGTTCCAAAAGGTGGGTGTCACAGCAGAAAAGGCTCTCCTCCTGGGTCCCAGCAGGTGAAGCTCCTTAGCAGACAAGACCCACAACATGCCCTCTTGCCTAGGGTTACCAGATGTCAAGCAACAGGAGGATATGTCCTCCTTTTTGTCCTCATGTTCTCTGTCCATCAGGCATAGCCTTGAAATATGTATTATGTAAATTGTCTGCTGCTTTCTTTCCCTCATCCCTTGACAGACTTGACAGCCTAGATTTACAGTATTTATTTCCTGATTCCAGCAATCGGCTTCAATCCAGCCCCTTCAAATCTATGATCACTGTACTCTGCAGATCACTTGACTCATCATGCATTCCTATGCTGAAATTTGAAAAGCATGTTGCTGCCATCAATTCTCTATTATCGCTAGCATGTTCTTAAAATTAAAGATTTGTTGGAAAAATATTGCAATTGAAAAAACAGTTTTTCTGATGCTGGAGAAGTAATTTCATATACATGTAGTCCTAAATACTTTTATTTTTATTTTTTGGCAGTTTTTCTCTGTAATTTTTGTCACTGAAATTGCCAATGTTTTGCCAAGGAAGTAAAACAGTTGGTGTGTCTGCTTTTCCCCCCATTTTTCCTCCTTTCCAATTATCCATGTCCTCCTTTGCCTGTTCAGATATCTGCTAACCCTACTCCTGCCAGACCTGATGGGACAGGTAGCTATAACTGGAGAAAAGCAGTCCCTCCAATAACCTGGCCCCATGCCTTGTAGGGCTTGAAAGGTCATAACCAGCACCTTGAATTGAACCTGGAAGTAGACTGGCAACCGATGTAGCTTGCAAAGCAGAGATGTAACGTGCAGTTCTAGGGACACACATAAGTGCCCATGCTGCTGCATTTGAAAGTGTAGAAGCTTCTTTCCCCAGGCAGTGGGGAAGAACTGTTAGGAATAAGTGAACATGTCCACGTTTCCTCCTTGGTCTTTGTGGACAAGAACTCCCAGCATGGATCACTCACAGGGTTCCGGTGAGCAGTCTGTGCCCTTTGCTGTGATAAATACAAGGATAAAGAAATTTGAAAATGCAGTGTACTGTGTATTGCTGTTTTCTGATTTATTTTTTTCACCAAATATTGTGCATATTTCTCCTGTCTTTTTTGCTTGTTTTTGAACAGCAACAAATTAAGCTTAAAAAACCCCTTTAGTTATTTAACAAATGGATTTCTTAGGGATTTACATGAGGAAATCTATTGGAGATTTGCCCTCAGAGAAAGCTGAGAATGAATCCTAGATTTGTTTGGAGAGGAATACTTCGTGAATGTGTACAATGTATATTTAGGGCACTTACATAGTTAAGGTTGTGCTAAAAACTGGAAATGTTGCTAGCTAACTTGATTGAAACATAGTAAGTGTACTCTAAATTATGTTCTAGACAACCTGTGACCCATTGGGTCATCGTTTCAGAGATATTTCCTTACCAAAGCAGAAAGAGAATGACTATGGTGGGCAAAAAGCAGTGAGAGCAGGAGTAACCTCTGGACGGCTTCCCCATTGACTTTCCTTGTGGGCAGCTGGCAGGGAGTGTCAGAAATCTTCCTGCCTGCCCGCCCACCTGATATCCTTGCCACACCCCTCTGCTGAGCACTACTGAATGAAACTACAACCTGCCCTGCACCCTCTGTAAATAACTGTCCGCTGCATGAGTTTCTCTTATTCCAGTGGAGAACTGGCTGAGATAGGAGGGCAGCTCATTGTGCCCTCAGAGACCATTGAAAGCGAGGCACAGAGAGAAGCAACAGCCAAAAAGGATGACCAGATATGGCTGGGGTATGTCAGCATCAGCTTGAAACATCCAGTAAGTACCCAGTTGATTCTTCCCACTCTGGGTCATGTGAATTTACCTCTGCCAATAACACATCCAATTTTACCTGCTTTGCAACTGCTACTGGATGCTGTCAGATTAAGAGGTCAAGTGCTACTTTAGCAACAATATAGCTAAGTTGACAGAAGCTGTCTACTCATGGATTGAGGTTGTGATGAAAGCAATGTCATGAAGACCCATCAGAGAAAAATAGGTTGCTCGGACATGTTCGTAACCATGACAACGTGCAAGCAGGAAAAGGCCTGAAGACTAACAGGGAAACCAATCTACAAGGATTAGCAATGCCACTTCAGATGGCTTTGCATTGCAGATTACAGGTGACACTGAGAAGTGTTTTGTATAAGCCGAACCCAAAGAAAGGGTTCAGCTGCAGAAAGCTGTACAAATTTGGAGGAACAAAATGCCACAATTGCTTGGATTCTTCAGTGGCTGATTTAAGTGCACAACACTAATTCTTTCCTTCAGCTCATTAGCTATGGCTGCTAGGTTCAAGGGCTACTGAAAGTCTTCCCTGCAAGCAGGATAGCTTAATGTAGCATCGGCATGCAATGTTTTGCCAAATTGTCTGGTATAGCAAAGATACTCCAGAATTTTGTGACCAGATTTGGAATTTGAAAGAGCGTTCAGGATATGTGGCTGTCTGTCTATAAATGAGAGAGTATTTAATTACAAGAAAAGCAAATGGTGAGACTAAAGGAAAAGTAACTTACCCAAAAGTATAAGTGCAAGACAAAGGTGATGTCCATACTTGAAAATGCTTTTATGAGACCATTTCACACAAACTAGTAACATGCCCTCATAAGACATAACAAGATATCTGTTTCATGGAAGGCAAAGTAGTGATGGAGAAATTCACACGTGTATAGAGTCAAGACATCCATACACCATGTAAGAATATGACAACATAAGACAAATCAAACCATGTCCATGCACAGTTACCACAAAACAGAAAAATGAAGAGACAATCACAATATAAGCAAAACATTAGGTCCATGCAGATCAGCCAGGATCTCATGGAATGAGGCACTTCATGGAGACGTGCTGCCCTTCCTGAACAAAGGTGGAATGGCTGCCTCGCTCCATTTTTTATACATGGAGAATTACTTTATGGCTTTACTTTGCAGGGGCTCTTTATTTGATGAAACAAAGCTCCCTCTTGAAGGTCTGCACAACCCTACAAAATATTTCCCTCAT